GGCCTAGTGGAAGCACAACCAAAAAAGGGGACGGCACGACACGGCACGCTTAAAGCGAGCTCCGCGCTGCAGTGGAACTGCGCCATAAAAGTACAATGGGAGCCAGAGCCTTTTCTTATCAAGCTCCACTTTTGTGGAATCAGCTTCCAGTTTGTGTTCGGGCGGCCGACACCCTATCCGTTTTTAAGAGTGCGCTTAAGACCTTCTTTTTTGATAAAGCGTATAGTTAGGGCTGATTAGATTCAGCCCCTAGTTTTGCTGCTATAGGCTTAGACTGTCGGGGGGGACCTTACTTCTTCCTTCTCTCTGTCTGTACCTGTGTACTCTCATGTTCCGAATAACCCAATTTCCCCCAAATGTCTTTTTGGTGTCTATCTACGCCGGGATCCTGAGTCGTGGCTGATCCTGAGTCCTGGATCCTGAGTCCTGCATCCTGAGTCCTGGATTTCGAGTCGTGGCTGAACCTGTCTCTGCGGTCCTGCCTGACTCTCATCATACTACTTCCCTGATGGCTCCCACAGGATTGTTGACATCCTCGTGGATTCATCTTCTTATTATAGACACATGCATTCCAAACATTTGGTCTACCTATGTTGTAAATGTATTATCTTTTCAATTTACACACGGCATCTATTGCACGTCTGTCCGTCCTGGGAGAGGGATCCCTCCTCTGTTGCTCTCCCAGAGGTTTCTCCCATTTTTCCCCATTAAAACTGTGGGGTTTCTTTGGAAATGTTTCCTTGTACAATGAGAGGGTCCAAGGACAGAGGGTGTCGTATTGTCATACTGATATTCTGTGAAGTCCACTGAGACAAATGTAACATTTGTAATATTGGGCTATATAAATAAACATTGATTGATTGATTGATTGATTGATTGATTGATTGATTGATTGATTGGTCAAACGCTTAGAGCTGTCCCGCCCCTTAGCTAACAAGTACAATGTGTTGGAGTGCTACCCAATTTAGGATTTTAGCCTTCACTGACCATTGAATTGCACAAAAACCTATATAACACATTACAGTAAAGGGGAAACCCCAAAAAGCTAAATGGGGCCTCTTCAATGTAATTCAAACACAATAAGGTTGTAATCCCTATTTTATCTTTTGTCCTGCATTACAACTGTGTTATAACCTTCATCACCGTCATCATGAACACACTTACAAGTGAATCGTAAATTATTACATTTAAAAGCTAGAGAAACAAAGGCCTGGGGGGTAAAATAATGATTGTCATATTCCTCCTAGTTGACATTATCTGAATGGTTGGTATCAGATTGGCGCCTCCTGCATCTTTTGATTATGCAAATTGTCTAACTGAAATGTGAGTAAACTGGCTGCCAAAAATGGAGCGGTACCATAGCACAACACTGGGAAAAGTAGCATGGGCACCTAGAGATTTGTCACTTTGGACATTTAAATGGAACTCAAGATCTAAAAACTGCTTTTCAGACAATAAACAACTGCTAAAAAAAGAGGAAATCTCAATAAATACTATTACTATTTACAAGGTCCTATAACCTGTTTGTCATTATGTATAATTTAAGCCTTTCAGACACCAAGAGGCTCTACTGGAAGTGGCTCACACAGGGTTAAAGAGTTTGACCTTGTTTTGCTTTTCTAACAACCGCAAAATCCAACACTAATAAGTGTCCAACCATGTGTATCCATGTCTAAAGCCCATGTTTTGCTTTAAACAGTCTCCCAGTGATGAAGCAGGGGATTGATGTCGTATACCTTCCTCTATGCGTGTGTGTTTGGGTGTGGTGGTCTGGCTTGTGGCCAGGGAAGGAAGTCATAGCAACAACAGTGTAGAGCGGTGAGAAAAAGAAGAATGGGGGGGGGGCTGCTGCCTTAGGGCAAAAAGCTCCACACCGAACATTTACACTAAGTCCTCATGTGTGTGATCCACCAGCGCGCAACAAAATGCTATCATTGTGCCACCGGAACGCACCGAAATGACGACCCAGGACTTTATATTCTGCAGAAAAATAATATGTTTAGGTTGCATAAAAAATGAAAAATAATTGTTGATGTCGATGTATACTTGATGTCGTTGTACACTTGCCTATCGTTCAGGAAGCGTTGCAGCTGTTCCCAGCGTATAAAGAACTTTTACATTTGCAGCAGAGCAGAACAATCTCCACAAAGAGATGAAGATTTAACACCCAGAAGTGACTGTAATATCGATACAAATGAAAATAATTACATTATTTGCTGAAAAAGTTTGAATATATATCTCCATGGCAATATTTTTTGTCTAAAATTGTATGTTTTCTTCAATAGGTTCACATAGTTTAGGTTTACAACAGCGGTTGAACTGCACACTTTGGTAAGTTGCTACAATAGGCCCTGGTTACCGGCCTAGTGACCGGACATCTCCTTCACCAAAGCAAAGGAATATGAAGTAAAAACATTTGATGTGTGTACTGTGTTGTTATAATGAAGCACCCTGCTGTCATTTTTAGCAGATTTATGAAACTAAGGCTAAGCATTGCCTGAACAGCACTGCGCTCTGAACGCTGGCTCTGCACATCTTAGAGTGGAGGAGCTTTTTGTAGTAAAAAGCAGCTGTGGGCAGCAGATACTGTAAGAATCACCCACCCTCATTAATAGATCACTGCAGACCTGTTAACAGACTTTCCTATTCTGGCTGGAGACCCTGCAAAACGAGCCGCAAATGTGCGTGTGTATGCATAGGTGCACTCCGGTACATACAGCACACCACCCACTGTGGTAATGTATGATTTAAATAAAAACTAGGTCACATGCATTAATGATGTTTTTCTTTATAAAACATTTTTTATCAATTATTTACAAGCTTAATAATGAACAAAGATAATATTGAACATTTGTCCACTAAATTGAAATCGTCCAGGTCAGGTTGACTGGCACGTAACACTGGTGTCCTCTTTGCAACATCTGAACTCTTTGCAACATGGAGCTCTTTGCAACATGGAGCTCTTTGCAACATGGAGCTCTTTGCAACATGGAGCTCTGAGCAGAAAACAGCTGAATGAAATGGAATTAGAGGCGCCGCAATAGCTGAAGAATCACTAATTGGCAGCTTCACTCAAGTTAATTGGCACTGAGAGAAATCTCTCTTGCTAGGGGAGGTAATAACATTATAGGAGGTACTGAGATGGGAATCATGCTGGATTTTCATATTAAATACAGCAACCATATGGGTTTGATAACATCTTTGACCTGGACTCGTTTCTTTTAAACCACCAACCCATGTGTTTTGGCTTTAATGGGAAATCTAACAGCGGGGAAGGCTCTTCCATCAGGTTCAAACCATCATACAGCATCTTTCATTATACAGTACACTGTATAGTGCATTCCATTTCTATCAATCTCGTAAGTTATATACCAAAATAATTGATTGGTGTTAGTCTATATTCTCCCTATTGCCAAAAAAGACCAAAAGCAAAAATGTGTTAGCAATTCTCTCAGTTTTTCTCTCAGCTCTCAACCAAAACGTTTGTATTTTGAGACGTGGATGAATACACTTTGATGCTCTATTTAGTATTTGGGGCAGTATTTGTGTGAATCAGTCAAAATAAACTACAATGTGTGGCTCATTTATATATTTCTAATCATTTTTGGATTAAATTGGAGCTCTAAGACCGAGAAATACGACATTTCAGACTGTGATATATTCACAATACCTGTTGCTAGGATCAATTAATCGTTGGTTTTGGTCGTGTCATTGGATTGGCTGACAACATGAAATGTCATCTTTTAACAAAAATGCCAAATGTTTCCTGACGATGCCTCTTTAATGGTAAGAATTACATTTCTCTCCATTTTATATCGTCAAAAATGGAATTTGGACAATGTGTTGGACAAAACTAGCGATTTTAAATCCAAGCCCTTGCTCTGGGAAATGATTATATAAAAAAATCCACTGATGATTGGTAGTGGAAATATTAATTAGCAGCAAGTATAATGATATATCTATAATTAAAAAATATGTGATTAGCATTGAGTGCCTAGAAGCATATCCCTCACATCAGCCAACATACTTCAAACCCATTTAACAATGTGATCCCTATTTGATCAAATGTTGTATTTTGAATACAACAACAAGCTAGCTCATACATTTGTTATATACTGTAAATAAACAGTAGTGTATAAAGACACATTTTTATTCTGCTAGATTGCACTTTTTAGCTGCCAATTCAAATGTTCTATACCATAACGTATTTATGTAAACACTTCAGTAAGTTAGAATTATATTGATTTTAATAACCCATTTTAATTCAGCATCTCTTGTTTATTTTGTGACCGCAAACATCAATTCAGCTCTCATTTTGATTCCATTTGGAGTTCTTACCGCTTTTCTACGGAAAACAAGCGCTTCTTTGTTGCTTTACACAAAGTTAATTACAACCATCAGCGAGCAAGAAAAATAAAGAAGGGAGAGAGGGAAGAGGAGACACAAGGGGTGAGGGATTAATAGACTGAAAGGAAGGAGGAGGAAGGGGGAGGGAAGAGGAGAGGAACAGATGAATGAATGTATGGATATAGGAGAATGACAGGAAGAAGAGGAGGAGGAGACAACATTAAGGGCCTAATGAGATACCTAGGATACCAGAGTCACTGTGAGAGCAAGCATCCAGCCACAGCAAATATGTTAACAAGCAGGGGACACACACTGAATCCAGATTCATAATGAGTCCTATTTGCTCTATACGCTCCAGGAAAGCTTACATGTTTTAATTTCTCTGTAATTCTATAATTTAAACACTAATGCAGCGTTTTTGAACTGCATTTCCCAGCAACCACTTGTTCAAAACTGGTCAAACTTCGGTTTCTGATACAGCAGTTTCATTTCTGTAGGTGCTGCTTGGTAATCCGTAATGGTCATTAGTGCTATTACTCACTAATCAGGTACATATATTAAAGGGTGAAACAAATACACATCACTTCCTGTGCACCAGAGGATTCTTCACAACCAAACTGAGTGTAGACGTGATGCATTTCTTCCCCACTTACCTTTAGTTTGGATTGAAACTCCCTGGATTTTCTTCTGGCTAAAACCTGGATGTGACTGGATACCTGAAGAGGAGAGGAGAGGACAGAGGACAGAGGAGAGGAGAGGAGAGGAGAGGAGAGGAGAGGAGAGGAGAGGAGAGGAGAGGAGAGGAAAGGAGAGGAGAGGAGAGGAGAGGAAAGGAAAGGAAAGGAAAGGAAAGGAGAGGAGAGGAGAGGTTAAAAGGAAAGGGGGGTTGGAGGGTAGAAAAGAGAGGAGGAAGGACCAAACAGTGAGTTGCCATGGTTATGAAAGGACTATTGCCACACTAGAAAGGTACATACACACATGCACACACACACACACACACACACACACACACACACACACACACACACACACACACACACACACACACACACACACACACACACACACACACACACACACACACACACACACACACACACACACACACACACACACACACACACACACACACACCCTACTCCCCTGACAACAGTGAATAGACCAATCTATGCACATCTTTTGAGAGCAAAAAGACACCTGGGAACACAACACTAAGATATTACACTACATGCAGATGTTCCCCTTTATGGTCGGTCAAGAAACTGTAAACAAATGTTTATCAGAGTCTAAAATGTACTCTTTTAATGAAATATACTATTGAAAAGCACAGAGGCCCTCCAAATGACATCTGTTGTTATAGTTACACATGACCATAGGAATGAACTAGTCCAAAGAAAGAAAGAAAAACATAATGTCAACATATACATGGTGGCTGTTGGCTAAGGCTCCAACACCAGATCCACTCAGTGAAAGTGCCTCTTCTTAGACTTCTTATGTAATAATATGTAATTTGCTGTGCTTATATTGCTGCTTACGTTGCATTACTATATCTATAAAATGAAACATTCACACGCATTACTGTTGATATGTATATATTAACTGTTTATTTTCTATTTTATTTTACATTTAACTGCATGTAAACAGGGCATTGCACATGAAAACAACATTGTCCAAATTGGGATCTATGTAGTAAATCTAATCCAATGTCATGGTTGACAATGATATATTTTGTTCACTGTTTTTACCATGCTTATAAAACTCAATGGGAACTGTAGTTTTTTTGTACACTAAGTCATCATTGTTCAAGTCGTCATGTTTCTTAAAATCAGAAACACTTTTGGTTTGTAATGAAATGTAAGAATATCTTAGAATGTAGAAGTATGTAGTAAATTGTAGAAAGTGAGACAATTCCTTTGCCTAACTATCCGGTCTCAGTTTGTGTCTCTGTCCATGTTTACTCTCCATGCCTTTATAAATATGTAAAATAAAAGCAGGTTCTGTAAATTAATTATTTAAAATATTTGAAAGAATAATTGGCAATGAAATGCTATTATTGTTTATATTATTCAAGTCTTATTACAAGTAAAGATGGATTATGGAGGGACATTTAACCCTTAGATGCATAAGTGGGTATTTTTTGACCCGGTGAGGTGGTTTGTCTTTGTAATTACATTTTTTTATCATTTCATATTCCAGCTATTCCTCAAAAAACATGTTTTGGATATCATGCCATTCAAATGTTAAATTTACATTTTAAGAAATTGTAGTTTTTGTATTACTACCCCAAGCTTCCATAAGTGGGTCAAAAATGACCCGCATGCATTTTCTATGGAATTTTTTTTTTTTTTCAAAATGTAAAAGAAATGTCTAAAATTATAAATAGTGAAATATTAAATATAAAATATTTCTAGTGTGAACCAAAATATAATGCTAAATATTATACAAGTGATTTTTCTTAACCAAAATGACAAAAATGGCATAAAAACACATATTATTCTAATACGGGTCCTTTTTGACCCACTTAGGGAAGAGTGTAGGGTCCAGTCACTCGTGCATCTAAGGGTTAACAACAATATCCATCAAAATGACAAAAAATTAGAAGTCTAATGCTACCACTGAATGTTGAAAATCTTCTTATTTGCAAGAGTTATTTTTCACAAAAGAATGATTTGTCTTTTGAAAGAATGTGTTATTAAAGACAGTTTCATAAATGTGTTTGAGTGAATTAGCTAGAGTGTAAGGGCTGAATGAAAGAAAGAAATACATTTGATCTTATTATATTAATTTGTTTATCTGGCGCAAAAGGGGAATAAATAAATGACGAAAATAAAGGGTAAAATATCGTCAACTCCTCAATAGAAAGACACTGTTTCACTTTTTATCCATGCCTGTTTTATTTTGGCAATTCAGCACCATGTCACTGGTTATAATGTGATACACTGATACATACAGTAGACAGCATGAATTTAGTGTTGACTCCCATCTTTACCTGTTTCCTCGTCCGCGTCTTGCCCGTTCGGAGCTTGATGTATCTGGCTATCAGCTCATTTCGACCTGGAGGGAAAGAACATACTGGTGAAACATTGACAAAAAAACAAACACACACACACACACACATTTAACCCTGTTTGAACTTTCTTTCACACAAACAACCACAAGCAGATATCATATGACCCTGAAAGACAACTTTGTGCCTGATTTAGCAATGTTGACCCGGCGACCCCTTGACGTGCAGTTTCCCATAGTAGCTCTATAATCACCGACACCCCTGTTGAGCTCTCCACACACACACACACACACACACACACACACACACACACACACACACACACACACACACACACACACACACACACACACACACACACACACACACACACACACACACACACACACACACACACACACACACACACACACACACACACACACACACACAAAATCCCACACGCCAAAGCCCTGAATACACATGACCCAACAATACAGGTATTCATGCAGACCGGCCGTCCCCTGATTAAAGGAAACAGCAGGCCAGCTGTACCCAAGCAGATGTGTACGCGCACACACGCAGACACTCACACACACACACACGCTTACAATGCTGAATAATTCAACCTTTTCAATAGGGAGCACAGCAGACTCAGCATGACCTGGCTAGTATAGATTAGTGAGGGAAAAGGAGACAGAGAGAGAGAAGGAGCAGAAAACCACATAGAGAAAAGAACCTGTGGCAGACAGGTGTGTGTGTGTGTGTGTGTGTGTGTGTGTGTGTGTGTGTGTGTGTGTGTGTGTGTGTGTGTGTGTGTGTGTGTGTGTGTGTGTGTGTGTGTGTGTGTGTGTGTGTGTGTGTGTGTGTGTGTGTGTGTTGGTTCATAACACTTATTAGTTAATATTGTTGTACATAAGAGGCATCCAAAGTGTGACCAGGCTGCGACTTTAAAATGCTCAATATTCTAACACGAAAAGAAATAAAAGAGAAAAGAAATATCAACAAGATGTTTTTTACTTAAATGTATTATGTAAGACAACAGAACAATGTGACCTTATAAAAGAAGAAACCAAGTCCATGCATTGAACGACCAACCGTTTCCTATCATTGCCCGTTTTGAACAGCACTATACTCTGGCATAAGCTGTTTTTCTGTTTTCTTCTTTTTATACCGATTAGTTCAACTTCTGTACAAACTGCAAATCAAACTAGCCCCAGCACAGAGCTGGACCGGAACTCATTTCAGTGGAAAAAGGGGTATCTGTCTCTCCAATAAAAGCACAAGTGGCCCAAAAAGAAATCTTAAAAACATACATTTTTTTATGAAAGTATCTAACTTGACTGTTATTTTATTTGTTAACATGCTTGTTTGGAGCTCCGAGGCTCAGTTTGGTTTGCCTCCCGTTGTGTTTTCTGTTCCGACCAAGTGGAAAACCAAAGTCAGGCCAGCTGGCCAACTGATGGTCAAGATCAGCACAAAGCCAAACCTCTCTACACACTAACCAAATGGCTCGCAACAATAGCCCTAACTAACTAGCAGATGGTGTGTGTGCATGTGTATTTGTGCGTGTGTGCATCTGATTTGTGGTGTGTGTGTGCGTGTGTATGTGTGTTCTGACCAATCCTATTCTCACTGAGATAGGGAGCTTAGACTGATAACATCTACAGCTCCCCATGCAGGTGTTTTCCTTCTAGCGGTCAATAGCTGCGTCTGACGACAGCACACACGCAAAACACACACATACATGTATATACATGCATGCGTGCCAACACACACACACACACACACACACACACACACACACACACACACACACACACACACACACACACACACACACACACACACACACACACACACACACACACACACACACACACACACACACACACACACACACCAACAGCCCTGGCTGCTAAGGCTGACATCTGACTCCAGAGGGGCCAGCTGGTCTTTCTAGGAGGCTTAACGGTGAATTATCATCCTTCACTAACCCTGCGGCGCACATCCCTCGCCCTCCCTCTTTTCTCAAAAACTCTCCAGCACACACACACACACACACACACACACCACACACACACACACACACACACACACACACACACACACACACACACACACACACACACACACACACACACACACACACACACACACACACACACACACACACACACACACACACACACACACACACACACACACACACACACACACACACACACACACACACACACTGTCCATCTAGCCGTCCTCGGTTCTGGCTGCTCCCTTTCTCCCCTCCTCTGTCCCTCTCGTAGTGAATGGGCTTCCCTTCTGCTCCCTCCCTCTTCCTCTCTCCCTCTCTCCCTCTCTCTTTCTCTCTCTACATGCCCAGTGAAAGACTTCAAGGCCAAAGTCAGATGGTCATTAACCGTGACGAACTGAAGCAACCCCCGTCTCTGTCTCCGGGCTGAAGCCACTCTGTGCAAGCAGATATTGAGGGAGAAGCGCAAATTGTAAAACACAGTTTGCGCTGTTTGTTATCTCATTTTAGATCATTAGGTTGAGGTTTTTAATCAAAATGAAAATAAAAAAACTAGACGCAGACTTGTGATAATATGATACAATCAAAAATACCTAATCTACTAAATGTAAAGTCTAATGAGGTTATGAGAGGAAGTGATGGTAATGTTATACTCCAACAACCATGTAAACACCCCACTAGAAAAACAATATCAACTGGTTTTTCACTTAGAAATGCACAACTTAGAAATCAATGCTATCTGTGAGAATCTGAAAATCTCTGCATTATCATACATCTTTTTGGACTTTGAATTTGTTCTCTTTACAAGTCAACCCAAAAAAAGCTTTACTTAAGTAGTTTACAATGTTAAGACCTTTTCAACTAGGCAGTTTGAGGGCTGGTACGATGCCACTGAGTTATTACAGTTCTTCCTGTTTTGACAGCCAAAGAAACAAATGAAAAGCTTGTTTCAGATTGGCACCAGCAATTTGCTGGTCTAAAACACGGCTATGGTCCTTGACAGAAAATCAAAAGGAGCTTGAAGAACGAAACTACTAGTAATCGAAAAAACAATACAGCATGAAACAGAAATGTTGAATAACTAGACACAACACTCATGGATGATACGGTGTTGCAAAGTATCACTGATCCTGGTAAGTTTTACTTTATAAATGTGGTGTTTGATACCGCAATTTGTTGGACTTGGTGTGTTTCTTTTCCAAAAAAAGGCCATATTTGAGAGGTGTTTTGATTAGCAGTGACCTGGGTTTGCATCGTAACATATTATTCAGGACCAAAGGAGGCACAGTTCCGACTTTGAGATTGAGAATAAGTACTTTGGGAGAAAAATTCATTGTCATACTAGGCCTATTTCGAACTGCCAGGTTTTGCACAGGCACTGCACTTGTTGGACTTAATACGACTAACTAAATCTATCAAATGAAAGCTATTTGTGCTGGATCTGTAGTCTATATAGGCAACAGTTTTAGCCCTAATAAAGCTATTCTTAGTGCATTACTGCATTTTAATGCGAAACATAGCAAAATGCACAATAAGTTCAAAACTTTGTCAAAAAGTTTGAGTCCGTAACGCAGGACAATTCTCACACTCAACAATCTCAAACTTGGCTAAGTAACGGAAGTTATGCGCCATTGTGGCTGCTGCAGTGAACACAGCACAATAAAAAACAAAAGTTAAAAATGTTTTTTTCTGTATTTAATAAACGTACCACTGTACTGGTATCAAAAAGAAGCCACCGTTAGCAAGTTAGCTAGTTGGCAATTGTCACTTCCTGTGAGTTGTTAGCTAGCTAGTTAAAAAAGCTAGCTAGCTAACTAACAGCGGTAATGTTTTTTTCAGTATTTGATAAGTGTACCACTATACTGGTGTTGAAAAGAATCCACCATTAGCTAGCTAGCTGATAGGTGATTGTCACTTCCGGTGAGGGCAGACCACAACACTACCTGTTCTAAATTCACACACTGCGCAAGTCTTACCAGTGTACGAGAGGCAGTGTACTAAGGGAAGTGTCTGGATTGGGACAACATACAATTTGGTTTTAAATGAAAAAGAATATAGTCACGTTTTTGTATATTGTATACAACACTGTATACAATATTTAAAGTTGTTTGTGAGATATATATATCATGTTTCACTGCTGCAGACTACACTTCCCACATTGCCATTTATAGTAGCCTCTTAAATACATGTGTTTTGAACATTTCCCTGATCAATGGCTAAAGAGAGAGAGAAGATTCGATACGAATTAATTATATTCACTTCCATCCAGTAGATCCATATGATGTGTCTGTAGGGTACAAAGCCACTGCCCGTTTACTGTACCTTTGCCAAAGATAAAAGCACCATTATTCACCTTTGTATTCACTCTCCCATTTATACACATCCATTCATGATTTCCCAACCCTTCTCTTATTTTCTCTCACTGCCTTCTTCTTTTCTATTTCAGCCCATTTCCCTGCAGGGTATTCTAAGACCCAAATAGGCCCCCTACCAGATATTAAGTCTTTCCTTTCAGAAGAAATACTCACCTGCCACTCATTTTACTCTTAATATAATGTTCTAAAAACCACAGAACAATGATGAACACCACTAGGTTTTTCTCGACAGGTCAAGACATTGTTACTATGTTTTAAAGTGACCCCAAGGTTAGGCAAATTTAGTATGATGCAGAATTTAACTTTTTTTGTAGCTAAGGAAACTCATTAAGGCCTCCATGTTTCTCCAAAGTCAAATAAAACAACATGCATGAACACAAATGTGAGCCTGAATTATTCTGTGTGCATCATGAGCCAAAAGAAGAACAAGCTAGACACTGTCTCATAATTCTGGTTGGCACAGATGTTCTAATAACAGTTTAACCCCCTGGTCTCTGTGCCAAACGCTGCTCATCATCTCCTTTCCCTCTGCCTCTGAAAACAGAAACTGTCTAACTCACTTAGGCTACAATGATAACCGTGTCAACAATTTAGACACAAAGTCAACAAGGTGAACAAATAACGCTGAACATGCCAGTGAGGCAGAGAGAAGAGTTAGATGGATTGATTGGTGGCCAATCAATAACATGAAAAATAAATGATTTGCTATTATTTTGACTAAAATTACGATATGATAAACGATATAAATGAAAAATTAAATACATTATCATTGAAAAAACATGCTTAAATTATCATGGTGGGATTTTTTTAACAGGACTGTTCTACTAGTTGAAGATCATTTAATTTAATTTTAGTCAATCGCATAACATAATTAGATCAAAAATCACAATACATCGCAGTAACGCTTCGTAAACCTTGAATCAATTTAATGTCTCCAGATTTTTACATACAAGGCCCTAATTAGTAAATGTTTTACTTTATCTCTCAGCTGTTTATTTCTTGAATTGTGGTCTACAGTGGATTCTTTTTTGTTCTTTTTCGGCAACCAAAGCTTTGAAGAAAATGATGAGTGTGGCGAGTAAACCAAAACAGTGAAGTTACAGGCTGTAAAATCCAAACAGTGCGCTTAAAGTTAAGTTGGTTGATATTTTTGGGTGGATTTATTCCTTTCACATAGTCATTTTTGCTATCGTTAATATGAAAAGTTATAAATGTTCAAATGAATGCAGTTTGTGTGCAATTATAAAGGAAGTGTTTTCCAAATGTAATAATGCAACTTGGGCTGAATGGGAAATGCTCTACAAGTGTCCACATTGGGGGAAAAGTATAAAATATCTCAGATTACTTAGTAGTCTAAAGTTCAAGTAGAATCATAAAGAAATCACTAAAGTGCACTCTGCATACAGATGGAGGGAGAGAGGGAGAAACGGCAGTGAAAGAGAGAGGGAGGGAGGCGCAGCTGGTGGCAGCCAGAGGACCATCTGTTCATCACTCTATTAGTCCACACACACTCACAAGCGCGCACACACACATCTTTTCCTATGCTCACACTTATTCTTAGACGCGCACACATACAGACGATGCACCTATAGCACGCCTCTTTTTCCGCTCCTTTACAGTTTTTCTTTCTATCCTGTGTTTCTGACACCAGAGACCCTCTGAGACAGCGCTCACACACAGCTTACACACCCCCACCAACAGCTCGCCCAATCTCTTCATGTGTTCATAACACTGTTCATAGATGTCACATTCTACGACAAAACTGTGAAGTCTTTTTGAAAATATCCACACATTCTTAAAATATTCTCTTTATTCCATAACTTTTGTTGTTCTGTATGGAAGATTAGCAACCAGCGATGTATAAACACATAAGCACATCACATTTTGCTGAAACAGCCAGTCCTTTAGTTGATTTATGGATCTATAGAAATTAATCAACATCAATTTTGCTATTAATTGTTGAAGTTTTTCGAAAGGAAACAAACTAAATATGTCCTTCTTTTAGATTAATAGTTCCAAGAATTTGCTTAAAAAAAAAGAAGTAAGAAGAAATATATCAAATATCGAGCATGGGCATTTTGCATTTAGTTGTACAACATTTGAAAAATGAAGTTGCCATCATGGCCTTTCCCTCTATTTTCTGGTAGCACAAAAAAATAATTATATTTCAGTTATCCACAGCAGTTTACACCCAAAGTCTTCCCATTTCCCATTACATACCGTACATCTTTCCTTCATCCGACAGTATAATCTTCCTCCGTCCACAGGGCGGGTAGATTGCCAGGGCCTCCTGAAAGCTCTGCTCGATATCGGGGCTCCAGACCCCCTCAGGGTCCCCATCCATTGTTTTATCCCCTCCAGAGTCACTTAGTCTTTCCATGTCGTCCCCCGGACTCTCACTGCCGCTCCAGCTACTGCGATCCATATTGGCAGCTAATGCTAACCAGCTGACGTGTACTCAGCTAATGCTATTGGTAAGGTGATAGTTATCGCTGACGTTATTGCTAATGGCAATAATTACCTCCAAGCGGAGACAGCCAGCTACGAACAACTAGGGACAGAATGCTAATGCTAGCTGCTGATTCGAGAACGGTAATCCCAATTTTTGACTACCAATAATAGTATCAAAAGTGGCTGGTACAGGGGAGACAACTCAGCAAGCTGGTCCAAATCCCTCTTCAGAAAGCAGGAACCCTAAATGAAAAAAAACAGAAACAAAAAGTATCGGGTGAGCTACAAGAAGTATGTCAGTAGCAGAGAGGTTAGCACATTCCACATTACCGCAACGTCCTGCGTTTACTTTATGCATGTGATACTCCTCTCTTCCCCTTAAAAATGTAAATATTGTAAATTTCTAAAAGGCAACTTTACATTTGTCGCTCCTATATTAGCTAGATGTTAAATAGTTCCAGCAACTAAATTATGTGTGTTTTTGGGTAGCCATGATTCTTTAGCCGTAAAATATGTCAAAGCGACATTTCTCCCATGGCTAAGCTACATGCTAACGCCTTGTTTTGAATTTCAAATGGGTTGAGTTTTCAGCCACAAATATAGCATATATTTTAACCAAATCTATATTTTCATCAGGTCTACCTAACAGCAAGAGTCTGCAGTTTGAAGGTAATGTCCTTCAATACCCTAAGGCAGCAGTTACCAACCTTTTTCAACTCAGGGCCCACTTAAGAATATAAAAGATGTTCGCGGCCCACATTCAACCATAAACAATACGGAGGATAAATAAGTTCTGATTGGTCAATTCAGAACATGTGACACGTTGTTAATCCAGTAATACAGACCACTGTCAAGGACTGTAATGATCGTTGTTTAGGAGGATCAAGAAAGAGAAAGGAAAAGAGTTTAAATAAAAAAATAATCTTAATAATGAAATGTTTCCACACATATCATAATGTTTTGCAAATTATTTGGCGGCCCACTTGCAATGCGTTCACGGACCACTAGGGGGCCGCGGCCCACAGGTTGGGAACCACTGCCCTAAGGAACAGATCTAATGTTGAATGATTTCTCTGTATGGAGTGCTGCTCATTGCTGTTCAGGATTCCACTTTTAAATTGTGATTTTCCCCTACCCATTCAAACGCATGATCGCTAAAACCCAACATTTCAGAAAAAAGGGCAAATCGAAAGAATATAGGTTGGTCTATGGAGCTCTGGAACCCAGATTCACGCTGATATTAAGTCTGTGTTTTTAACAGGAGCAGTGCAGCTTGAAGTTCTGAACATATTGTAGTCCTGCATCCAAGCTGCTAGGGGAACATTATTGCTTCTTTTCATGTAGGAAATTGCCTATTTTGTTAAACCGCTGTGGTAGCCCAACATTAAATCCACATGCACATAAGTGGAGCAAGTGGACAGACAAATAGACCAGTACGATACACAGCTACTAGCAGATTAAGGGAGGGAAACAAAAAAAAACTGAAGGGGCTTGCCAGCGGCCTACAATTCTTCTAAAATCCCCATCAGTAAACAGCAGGCTTGGCGAAGTACACAACACAATCACACACCAACATATGCACACACACACACAATTTTGGTGCCAGCTCCTTGGGCGAACACATGTCATTTTGTCTGGTCTTTTACTGTTCACACTTCCCATACACTGTCACTTGCCACAGCCTGCAGAAGCCCGAAGTGTGTTTCAGTCCATGTGTGTGTGCCTGGCTTATTTTAGCACAATTACATTTGACAGCACACACACATGCAACTTAAGCCTGTAAATCAGCGGGCAACCTTTTGGACACATTTTAATAAGAGCCCAGTTCAATGTTTTATCACACCTGGGGCAAAATGTTGCTATGCCGCAAGAAAACTTCCTTTGGCTTAGACTCGCAGCCATGTGTAATCTGCTGGATTTGCTTGAGTTTGTCCTCTGGTTCTCTCTTCATGCTTATTCTATTCACCCTCATTTCCGTTTCCTCTCCAACTTCCTACCCTTGCTTTCTTCCCCTCTTCCCTCCTGCCCTCCCCCAACAGTTTTCCATTCAAAGGACTCATTCATACAACCTATGGTTGAGCACCAGCAGAAACAAGATTTGTTTCCTCTTCACAGAGTGTGACACTGTGTGCGCAAAAGTTAAGTATCCCTTTTCAAAAGTAACAGAGGCTGTGATCATCATAACTCACCATAACTCCACTGATGACACGTTTTAATGGCGGATATAAAGGATCGAAACCTCAGTAGAAGTAGACTGCAGAACTGCACTTCTGCAGTGTAATCCTATTAGAATTCTTAGCATGTTCTCGTCAATCAACATTTCACCAAAGTCTAAACTAATAAACTACTTCGATTTGTCTAGCAAATGGAAACTGTTTCAGCAAGAACGCTCTGATAAACACACATTAAACTACCTGGCCAGCACCTGTTAGACAAAGTTTGAGACAAGCTGATAATGTAGTCCAGAATTAAGCAGAGGCAGAATTTCCTCAGATATGGAGAAGACCAAAACAGAGCTAAAAGAAGCAATTATTGAAGTTATGTTAATTCGCTAGACAAAAACATGCCTCCACGTCAGTGCTAATTATGCCCCATGTCGGCTTGACATGTAAATAAGCAATGTCATGTTAAGGAGTCGGCAACAAAAGCTTAAGGGAAGTCGGTGGTATGTTTTCAGATTCAACTGCCAAAAAGTGCTCCAAATATTATTTAATGAATCATAACATCAATTTGGTAACATTGTCCTTGCAAATAAAATACAACTGAGACTTCATGTGCGTAAGGGTCATAATGGTTTGTTGTGCCAGTTATTGTCCATGAATCACTAAAAAGTCATCTTCACAACAACAACAAAATATTACTTTAAGCACAAAAGTAGAACTGAACAATCACACTACTTTTGATGAATTCCTAAAAAAAAAAACTCACAACTTTGACAAGACATGTCAGTTGAGAGGGCAGTCCTTGCGGTCAAGGGTCCACATGCGTACACAAAGTGACCACCTGACGTTTGGTCTGAATAATCGTGTCTCAATGTCACTTGTGTGCATTCACATCTGTACCTAGAGCTGTCTATTTGTGATTAGGTCACAAAAGAAGCATCTTTTTACCAGGTCTGAACAAGACCATATCGACAGTCAATTTCACACCTAACAGCAATTAAGATTGACCAATTAACCTTATTAACCTAGCATGCATGTTTTAGGACTTTGGAGGAACCCCAGAGAAAAACCATGAAAAAGGACTGCTGAATATTTTGTCTGTGAGGCAACAGTGCTAACCACCAGCAAGGCACAAAGCAAATGTTATTATAAATCCCATTGTAGTTTAAGGCTGCTTTTATGTGAGGTTTACAAATTATTTAGTTAGGTCAATTCTCAACAATGCAGAGAGCTGAGATCATATTACAAAATAAACTGGAGCCTCTTGCACTGATCCATGTCGGTTCAAAGCTTTATCTTTTAGCTCAGGTTTTGGTCTCTATCAACTATGGACAAAATGTAAGAGCAGTGAGAGTGAGGCAAAAACTGAAAAGAAATCAGGGATCAGAAGGTATTAGAATAAAACAGAAAACAGGAGAAGGCTTCATGGAGGAGAGACACATCTAAGAAATACTAATTAATAATGTATGTATCTGTAATGACTTTGAAGATGCTTATGATTGTGAAAATCAGGGATCAGTAGGTATTAGACAAGAGACAAGAAGACACGTAACGTTACGATACAAGAGAAAGGGAGGGCAGAAAGGGAAGAGAAGGGAAGGCTTTATGGTTAACAGGCAAATCCAACAAATACTGTTTATTAATGAATGTATCTGTAATGATATTAAAGATGCTTTTAATGAGAACAATCAGAAATCAGTAGGTTTTAGAGAAAAGCCGAGATAAGAAGAGGAGAAGGGTTCATGGGTAACAGTAGAATCCCTACTGAGGCTCAGGAGATGTGAGCATGAGAGGGGCCCAGCAGCAGATGGAGGCTGGAGAGAGACATTAGTCACACAACAATCAACTGTGACTGGGCGACTCCTGTGCCCCCTTGCTGCCCCTCCTCTGTGTCCCTGTCACCAGGCAGGCCCAGGCCACTGCAGCCAGGACAGCAGGCTCCATGGTGTCAGTGCCAGCCCTCAGGAGAACACACACAGGGCGCACAGCCACAGCCCTGCAGCTGCCTTGGACTCTCATGCTCTCCCTCTGTGTCGCCTTTCTTCCTCTTTTCACTTACTGGCTTCCACCACATGCCAACTCGATGTATGTGTGCAATGTGCATGGCTCTCAGCCTCCGTATTACGAGCGAGGTTGTAATGATATGTAATGCAAGCGATGTGCCTGCATTACAAGAGGGTCTTAGGTGTGTGTTTGTGTGTGTGTGTGTCAGCAGGGGGTCCTGTTGGTAGACAACTTGAATGTGTTATCACAGGCTAGTCAGTTCCTTTCACTCATTCTTCTATTGGAACACTGAACGGCATCTGTTTTAACTGCTTCCAATGTGCGCGCGCACGCGCACACACACACACACACACACACACACACACACACACACACACACACACACACACACACACACGCTTTATACAACAGGATTTTCTCATAATCCTCAAAGCAAACATTGTTCCACTTTATAATGTTCTGCCATGTTTTAATGGTCCCTTACACCCTAAATATAATTATTCAGAGGTGATATTTTATGCTTTTGCTTTTATGAGCCAGTTTTAAGTTGTTGTTTTTTCATCAAGGACTATCCAGGCCCATCACTCGCCTCCACAGTGGACACATCATTTGCACCTCATGTTATTCAAAGAGTCAGAATGTATTTAAGTTTATGATTTCAGATTCAGAAAATGTCTGTCCTTGAGCTCCACAATGGTAACTTCGCTTGGAATAATTCAAAAGGGTTCCTGCTGCGTAAGAGCTTTAAAGCATTACTGTACAGTTATGAATGGGGTTATTCAGATTGTAAAAGAGGTTAGTTGGGCAACTTAAGTGCAGTTTTTAAACTATTTTCATCTTAAAAATGCAATGAATAATAGTAGTATTGTCTAAATTGCATAATTCTATTTTTATACTCAAAATGGTCCTGTTTAATGTATATTGTGGTGTCAATTCTTTAAATAGACAACCTAAATGTAACTTATCTGGGTCAAGATTGTTGTTTGTGTTATGGGTTATGACATAAATGTTATTGTTGGCCGATAAAACTCACAATTATTAAGATAAGTATAGTCTTTTAAAAATGTTGCTTAACTT